TGAACCTCGTTGTCTTCCTCAGCTCTTGGTGCCAGATGCACTATTTTCCTATTGGATGTGCCAAAACCACTAAATAGTTAAAGCACATCAAATCATCTCAAAATGGCCAAAATTGAAATTGTTTTCCAAAAAAAGAGCTCTTAGTCAGCGATCCTTGCGGTCATATTCCATACTAGAAAACTTCTGATTGGGCTAAAAATTAGGAAAACAGACTTGAACGTGAAAGACTTCAAATTCCTTTTCCCTTTGTGTACAGGCCCAGAGTAAGAGAAAGCATGGAGGGAGGAGAGAATGAAGGGGAACTGTTGCAGCCATGAAAATCACAGCAGGCTACCGCAATTTGTATTATACCCTCAGCAATATGGTCTCTTAACCCTGACATTCCCAGTGACTTCTCAATGCACAGAATCCAATCAGGTGGAATCTGTGAGGAAGGAGGCTACAGCTACTCTGGCATCTTTGATACCATGTGAGCTGCTCCAGGGGCTAGCCATTTTCCCGGAGTAGAGGTTGAGTGGTGCATGGATTTGGGTCAAGCATCCCCAAGTCGTTGGTATTCAAAATGTCAACATAGTCCTTGGGCTTATTTATAATAAGCCAATTATAGCTCTAACACCAAGGAACGCTTTAAGTGGCATGCGAAGAGTAAAAAGAAAACAAGGTACAAATGTCAACTACGCGGTGATATTGGGGACAGTGTTTCTGGGAGTCTGCAAGCTGGCTCTTTAGAGCTTCTTGTCACTTGTCATGTGACTGCACTTGTACTTTCCATGGGCTGAGATATTAATTTCCTGATTGTTGTTTTCAACCACCAGCTCACTGCAGCCAAGTGGCTCTTAGCCCTTTCCTTATATTGGAATCACCTTTGGAGAATTACAAGTTCCGCTGTCCAAGCACATTCTAGATCACTTAAGTCTATACCACTAAGCGGTGAGACATAAGTGGTGGAGAATGTGGAACCCCTAGGAGATTACAGTGTTTGACTGAGGTTGAGAACCACTAATGGAGTGACTGGGGCAAGGGTGTGGGAGAAAGACAGCAGAAAGCATGATCCAGGAAGATGGACAGAAATCTTTCTCCAAACTCCATCTTGGGGACCAGGGCAGGGTGAAGGTGATGGTGGAGAGGAAGGGTGCTGATTGGTGGCATCAGTAGATTTAAACAGCTGCAGCTAATGCCCTTCACTCTCCCAATAAACGGCTAGCAGAGGCACAAAAAGCTCCAGGAAATTACACAATGCTAGGGTTTTTGGACAGTTTGCCAGTAACATAAGTTTCTTCGCTGGAACAGTAATGAGAATGTAAGTGAAGGGGAGGTTATGGCAATCATCAAGAGAGAGTTGTACAGACAATCTTAACCTCAAGTTGCTCCAAAGATGCCTCTCTCTCCCTTCAGCTCTACCAGGCTTAGAGTTGGTTGGGACAGGATCCTGGGATGCTGGGTCTTGGGAACATGGTCCAGAAGGGAAAAGAGCCTTAGCATAGCAAAGGCTGTCCTGTGGAAAGGTACAGTTAAGTAAGTAGTCCACAGCAGTAGACTGACTCCAGGTCAGGTCTTTCTGTGCCTTGGAACCCTCGCCTCATACTCTGAAAACCAAAATAGAACCTCCTTCTAAAGCCATGATTCTTAAACTTCAGCATACATCAGAATCGCCTGCTGGACTTGTTAAGCCAGAATGTCTCACTTCACTCCCAACGTTTCTGATGCAGTAGGTCTTTGGAGGAGAATTTGCACTTCTAGCAGTACCTCTATGGACGATGCTTTGAGAAGCACTGCATTAAGCATGAAACATAGGCCAGGCCAGGATCAGAAAAGGTGCACCAGATGATATTAGTATCCTCTTGGGACCTGTAAGAAGGAACAGCGGTTGCGCTTCAGGTGAGCTGGGATCTTCTTTTATCCAAAGTGTGGGAGCCATCTGACTTCTGCTTAAGTGAGTACCCACACGAGAACACATGCAGTTTCCATACAGACATTTGCATTTGAGTTATTTGTTCCTGCATTCACATTAGAAATTGGCAACATTTAAATTGGATTTGATATTAGAGCCCCAACTTTCATTAACATGAGACTGAAAATGATGACAATATCAATGAAAGCTATTTAGTGTTTCAATACACTGTAAATGCATTTTCTAGCCTGGTAGCAAGCTGCCCATAACAAGACAAGAGAAGGTCAAAGGCATAGGGAGTGCTGGACAACATCTCATGCTAGTGAAAGTTGGGACTCTGAAATCCAATTCAATTTAAATGCTACTGGTTTCTAATGTAGATATATCAGGAACAAAAATATGTAGGTGTCTCGATAAGATTGTCCAGGGGCCCTGACATGCACCTAGATGGTGCCGAACACAGCCAAAGAGCTGACTGTGGTTCATTTACAGTTAATCCTCCAAGAGGGAGGTGTACCTAGGAGCTGTGGAATTTGTCATTTAGACTAACCTTCTCATTCAAGATATTTAGCTGAAGACATCTTTGTGTATGGTAGAATAATCAAAATAGTCCCATAGGGAATTACTCTCACTTCCATGGTTTTCCAAAGATTAAAGGAAGGAGTTTTCTGTGTCCTGAAAGAGGCAGTTAAGCAGCCTGGCCACAGTAGTGAGATCTGCAAGTTCACTGGCACATGCTGATGCCAGTGTATAAGGCCAATCAAGTGCTCCTTCCATCCTTCACATAGCCACTGCTAAGCCCTGTGGGACTTGAAATCAATTCCTGAATTCTGGAACTGAGTGATAGCTTTCCTTCCTTCCTACCCTAATGAACTCCTACCAATTCTTTAAATTCTGCTCAGATATTAGCTCCTCTATGGACATATGTCTGAGTAGTCTGAGCAGATAAAATTAATTTAATTTCTTCCTCTACTGTATTACCATATCATATTAGGTCTATATCACATGGTTCAGCTTAAATGCTTCTTCTTGTTCACTGCCTTCTGTATCTCAATATTAAATATTATGTGCCTGGTACCTGGCAAAGTGAATGGCATAGGACCTGCCAAATGTCTAATTAGTGAAATAAATAAATTCCAGTGCTTGGATGAGGAAAGCATGACGTGAGCCTCCAGTAATGTGCGGAGTGGACATAACTCTCATGGGATCACAGACACTCAGAGCCAGAGGAGACCTTCACTATCACAGGACAGCTCCCTGTCCTGTGAAAGGGCTAGATCACAGGCACTTAAACAATGCTGAGTGTCCTAGGAAATCAGAGTGAACAAGGTCAGAAGGCAGATCTATGGGCCCCAGCCTCATGACCAGATAACTTTAATCACACACCCTTGGAACGTTTGTGAAAATAGACGAGCTCCTCTTATTGATGGTGGGTCAGATGATACCCACCTCCTGCCTGAGGACATGCTGTGCTTTCAGTTGTGTTATATCTAATATAGGAGAGCAAAACAAGGTTCTTTAGTCTTGCTTAAGAGTGTCTGAGTAAGCTTTCCTTAGAGACCTTAACTGTAGTAGAGTATTGGAAGGTTTTTCTGGTGAATTACCAGATAAAGAGGCAAAGAAGAATTTTTCCAGAGGGTGGGAAGAGAAATGGACACACCCAGGAGTTCGTTTCATGACCTCTGATGGAGGAGAGCAACTCCAGGCTATCCTCCTGGCTTGCAGCTGCTCTGAATGAACAGAGACTTGGGGATCCTTGGGGCCTGCGCTGACATGTGCTTCCATAGCACAAGACAAGAGGAGGCTGAAGGAAGACACATGGTGGCAATCCACACTGGAAACAAATCTGAGCTGGAGATTCAGAGAATTGGAAAGAATAGACAGGAAAGACAGTTATGTCATTCTAGAACTTTTGTGGGTGATGGACTACCCCATGATGGCCATAGTTCATTCATTCATTCATAAAATATGCCAAGCTGCTGTCCTGCTCTCAGCCTTCACTTCCTGCTGCCCTGAGGATAACACCATAGCTCCCTGCTGTGTCCCTGTTAGTCTGGTTCTTTCTATTCTTTCAGTGCATCCCAAGGTCCCTTCCACTCACGATCAGTAACGTTGGCTTGTTTCTACTTCAGCATCTTTTCTCTGGCTTTTCCTTCTTCCCAAAATGTTGTCTGCCTTAGTCCTTCTCATCCCTCAGATCTCAGCTTGCAGGATTTGTCCTCAAAGAACTTACATTGAGCATCGCATCTGCAGTGCACCTGTCAGCTCTGTCAGTGTACCTGCTTCCCGCCTGGGGAGCACATGGAGAATATGAAAATATCATGTTCATTTCTACAAGTCAGTAAACTTCACGAGAATAGAGACTTGTCTGTCCCATTCACTGTGTCCCTAGCACCAAGGACAGGGCTTGGCACATAGTAGGTGCTCAGGAAACCTTGTGAATGAATGAACTGATAAAGCAGCTGTGAATATTAGGTGTGTCAACGAGAGATACTAGAAGCCTTCCATTGTTTCCAGAAATTATAATTTATAATTGAATAGGATATTTTTTTTCACATTGCATCATCTCCAAGGCTTTGAATTCCTTCCATTTGGTTCCTATGATGTAGGTCCTAGATTTGTGCAGTTTCCTGATGTCTGCCAAGTGCTCAGGTGTCTTTTTTGCCTTTGTCACTCATCTACATTTTCATCAAAGCATCAAGTTGCTCTGAATTGCCAGTTATCGGTTATAGCTAGGCTTTTTCCAGAGTTGGGTCTACTACATACATGAATGTATAATGTGTACAATGAATTTCTCCATGGTGATAGATTTGGGTCTGCTGAAACAGGACTTTGGTGCAGGTCTGGAGATACCTGTACCAGGTATGAAATCAGCCTTGGGTTATGTCCAGGCCAAAACCAAATGCGTCAGCACAAGAAAGAGTGAGAGCCAGGTGCCACTGCAAGTTCCTGCAAGGTCAGACCCTTCACAGTATCAGTAGCTTGATCCTTGCTTTTTCCTGGGCTTAAGTCTGGCAAAATCCCAGAATTCAGAGGAAAGGGACTTTTCCTGTTGGCATATCTCTCCCCGTTGTTAAAAATGTAGTAGAAGAACCGATCTAATGCCACCTCTCCCCTCCACAGAATTCTGGCCTGTGGTCGTGCAGTCCAGGGGGCTGGATGGCATGCTGGACCCAAGCTCAGTTCAGTGTCTGGGCCCAATAACGGCTTTTCCAAGGGAGCAGCTTTCTGTCCTGGCCACATTGAGGTAAGCACCTATGAGGCACCTGCTGACCAGTGGGGCTCTGCCATGGCTCTGAGTGACCATCCAATGTGGACCTCCTAGGAAGGATGTCCCTGGACAGTTTCCAGAATCTTATCAAGAGTGTGAGGTGCCCCACCTTTAATGTAACAGAATCTAGGGACTCCAAAAGATAGAGAGTATCAGTCAGACCATCCACATAACTCACCTGACTGAACAGTCAGCCTTGTTAGATGGAAGGTCCACGGTTGCTCTTCAAGCCTCTAACCAATGCAGAGGCATGGGGGAAGAGTTGTAGATCAGATACAGGCAGTCCAGGTTCAGAGTTCCAGTTTGTCCAGGTATGCACCTATACTTTATTTCACTGCCTGTCAGTTTCCTCATGTGTGAAATGGAAATAGTGTGGCCCAGTTCTCAGGTTTGTTGTGATGAGTATGTCCAATAAATGATGATGGTTTTAGACTATCACCACTAAAACTAAGTCCTTCACACAATGTACTTATGAAGGAAGAAGGTATCTACGGTTCACAGCCGTAGATATTCACAGTTCAAGACCCACTGGGCTCTGTTGATTCAACTGACTGGTGAGTCTGGAGAGGGACAGTGGAAGTGGTAGAGGAATGGTTGCACCACCAACCCAGAAGCAGAGAATGAGTGCAAAAGCCAGAGAGAGAATTCCAACTCAGTTTTATAACCATCTCTCCAATGAGAACTTCCCTCCAAGGACACGGCTCCAACATGCCCAAATCACTAGGCTCACCTCCTAGCTTTTGCAGTTGGATCAATGCCCTAACCTTTCAGTATCTTTAACCTTTGAATTTGGGGATTAGCTATCTACTTGAGTTTGGGAACCAAACCCTGTTGAAACCATCACAGTGATAATCACTTTTATTTCACCTCATTCTTTTTAAGATAGAAAAACCAAGAACCATAGATTCTGTGCAGCCATGCAAACCTTTTCTGAAGGAGGCCAGTAAGTCCACAGATTCCTTCACCTGCTGCTGGTGCTTTCCAGCCAAATATTTCTATCACGGACATTTTCACTGCTTTTGGATTAAATCTATATGATGCCTTGCAACCTTATAAACCAGTAAAAAAAAAAAAAAACCCAGCAATGAACAATTAAGTGTTCCTTAGGATCTGGATTTGTGGCCTCAGAAAGGTAAAACTCACACTGTGTTAAAGAGAAATTTCATTTTGGCATTGGGAGTGGAATCAACATATATCATATCCTATCAGCTATGAAACTTGGCCTCTGGCTTTAAGTGTCAGTGCCAGCCAGGCCTGGCATACTCTGGTGGCATGACCCCTAGTCACTTAGCATCTCAAAGTCTCATCTCATCTCCTTTGTCAAATTATAGAATTGGCTCAAGTGGCAGTTCCAAAAATGAGACCACAGAGTGGCAGCAGCACTTGAAAACTCACTAGAAATGTGGATGTGTAGTCCCCTCACCCAAGACCTATGGAATCACAGGTTCTGGGGTACAACCCAACAGTACTGGCTGGGCAGACTCTTCAGGCAATTCTGATGCACCAGTGATGGGAATCTCTGAACTTTAATTTCTTGTGTCCCTTCCAGTCATCACATCCTCCAAGGAATCCTGACTGGGAAATGCTGGCAGAAGCACTGGTTTTAGCTCTTCTTTTTGTTTGTTTCTCTGTTCAACCCAGGACATCTCAGGGGTATGGGACACCTCCCAAAAAAATTAGAAAGCCTCTAGGACATGCAATGCAGCCTCAACAGTCAATGATGTCTGATTGTTTACAACTGAAGACATCAGCCACTTTGTACTGAGAGCAGAGGTCAAGTGTAATGCAAGGATGACCCTTGACCTTCTTTCAGAAGATGGCTAGGACTGCAGAGGAAGAAGAGCTAGATTTCTTGGACCACAAGAGTTTCCTCTCATCAGCAGTTAATGACCTCAAGTCATGGATCCCATCTTTGGTTTCAGAATCAATAACAGCTCTTGACTTGTTTCTCTCTAAGGCAGAAATTACTTTACACTCTTATACAAGTACCTCCACAGACACGGTCATTAAGACTTTCAGTAACATCTGTCATCCTAGGTACAAGGATTCCATCCAGTGGCTTAGCTCTGTTTGACAGTTCCATCACCTATTCACACAAGGCGAACATTGCAGGAAGCTCATTCCCCCAATGCAGGAATGGTCCCATGCTTTGCAAGTGTGTGCACTGGGAAATCCACACAGAATACACCGCCATTTCTAAGAGACGGTGCTAGTGCTAGGCAGGCTGCCACCATGGCTGGATTTAAGTCATCTTGCTGGTCTTCCCTTTCTCACCATTCTCAGTCATTTTTCTTTCCTTCCAGGGAGGAGCAGGACAAAAAAAAGGGTATTTGCACTGTGGGCAGAATGTGTTCCTTCACGTGAGCCCCCATTGCCCCTTCCTTGGCTAAGGGGAATCCCTGGGCTGCGGAGCTCTGCTCAGCGAAGCCACATAGAGCTCTATCACCACTTCAGGGAGAGGTATCAAAACTTGTTTTGTGAAAATAAATAAATAACCCTGCACCTGTCCCATCCCCAGCTCATTTCCAGCAAGGAGGGGTGGTTCCTTTCCAAACTGGGGATGTTTCACTAGGATGGAAAACATACTTGCCCTGTTCTTTCCTAAACATACTTGCTTGTTCTTTGCTTTGCAATCACCTGATGACTTTTAAAATGAGATTCTTTTTTTTTTAATTTTGAAGGAATCCGTAGTACACCATTAAGAACAAATCAAGTATTTTTTAAAACTTTCCTTTCATATAAAATCCAAATGAGAGATTCATATCTGAGACATTTTCATATATTCATGAAGGATTCTGCCCCGGAATGCTAACCTCAATTGTGAATGCTTTCCAGAGCCCTTTGGTAGCTTATTAGTGAATTTAGAAGCTGTGCTACCCTTGAGGAACCTTGTAAACTCAGGGAAGTAGAACAAGCAAAGGCTAGGTGGCATAGCAAATCTTTTAACTGCTTGAGATAAACAAAAAGCCAGTGTTGGAAGACACTTCAACCTCACAGCTTAGATGGATAAACTCAGGAATGTAGCAGGAAGGTTCTTGCTCACTGGTTCTTGGAACTGGTTCTGCTTCCATTGTTAGCCATGGAGGCAACACAGATGAGTAGGATGCTTGCCTGTCTGCAGAGTCTGGAATCTGCCCTTCAGCAGGGAGGATAAGAAGGTGCTACCACCACAGGAAATGTAAAGCGAACACTTGAAGAGACTGAGAAGGGAGAGTTTGGTCCTTGACATGAGAGAAAAGTCTGCAGCAGAGGTAATGTTGAAGCTGGAGGTTGGAAGACAGCAGGAGGGATTCCAACCTGTATAGACAAAAAATAAAATAAGTCCCTGGCAGGCAGGGCAGCGGGAAAGTCTGGTGACAGGAGTCTGAAGCAAGGACAACCATGAGGAGGCACAGAACAGGCACTACCCTAGAGGAATCCCCTATGCCTGGAATAAAAACTCTCTTGAGGTGGGCCCAACTGCCAGATTGAGCAGCCTCCGCTGGCTTCCTAGAACTGGGGGCTGGGCACAGAGCAGGCCTTTGAGAAGCCATGTGGTGGGACAGTCAGGGCAGGAAGTGGTAGAAGACACCAGAGTCCAAGACATCAGGTGTGAGACTGTTCCCATGGCTCCAGTTATAGAGGCATAGAGGCTGACGAGAGGAATGAAAGCACAACAGCAAGAGCTGTTACTGCAGCACAACCAAAGGCAGAGAAGAGGCTAGTTCTGGGAGGAAGTGAGGCTCAGAACCAGTAGATGAGAATTAATGATTCTGGTCATGGCAAAAGGAAGATGCAGAAAAGCACATGACTCCTTATTGCAATAGAGTACAACTCATCAAGTGGTCGCAGATGGGGCCACTGCTGCTTCTCATGTATTAAAGGTGGGGGCAGGGGGAGAGCCGGCAAGGATGCTGAACATGTAGATACTGGTTGGGGATGCCTTGGACAGCTGTCCCCTGGGACACAGGAAGCTTAGAACTGGCTTTGAGAGAGCAGACCATCCAGAATTCCAGGTGTGGGCATCACGGTGCAGGGATTTCAATGGACTCCTTAGAAGAGGATGAGCAGCTCACCCAAGAAGAGTCTGAAGAGGGAGGTCACAGAGAACAGAAAGCAATATGTCCCCTATTTCCATTGAAATCCTAAACGTTAGTCAGTGTTGATCATTTTGCTATTTAAATTCTAATGATTGTTACCAATATAAAAGATTAATTTCAGGTCCCTGATCCCTATTCGCCTGGTGAGACACATAGAAGAAGTAAACGAAATTAGCACAAGGAAGACCCATTATCAGTTGTATGTCTGTTTGTGGGATGCTGGCTGAGTAGACACATGGGTTGAATGAACCTAGGGCCACATGGCTTTTGTGGCTTTGGAACAAGGGTGCTGAGCCATCAGATCTTCAGTTTTGAAAGGGAGTATTCAGTGCCAAGGATTCCACACATGCCCAGCAGCTCCTCCCCACAACATCCACCACCCCTTGTTACACCCCCTCCTTCCCACCAGGCCTTACCAGAGAGGAGGCAATGCTGTTGAGCAACCCAGCACAGTCATGTCCAAGACACAAGTGCTGCAAGAGGTGTCAGCCTCATTCCCCTGCCTCCCCTGCATGCATACCAGGTTTTCTTAGCCACATCACACTGGCAGCCAGAGAGCTCACAGGATTCTATGTGATGCTGCATGCACAGCTACTGGGGAGAATTCCAGGACATCTGTCCCAAGCCCTGGCCATTCATCAGAGGCCATCAGAGGCGGCTCTAGTCTGTGCTTGGACTTCCAGTGGAGCGGCATCCCCTTGCACTGCCAGATGTCTCTGCTTGCATGACACAAACCAGGGCTTCTTCACCCAGAGTCCTATCAAGTGGAGCTGCCCAGGAACCTCTTGGGAAGTCAAGATGCCTTCTGGCAACCCTCACTCCTGAGCCAGGGAATAACCCCTCTGGTTTCTTTTTCCCTCCAGGTGCATAGCGTAATGTCCATGTTGTTCTACACTCTGATCACAGCTTTACTGATCGGCATCCAGGCAGAACCCCACACAGACAGCAATGTCCCAGCAGCACACGGCACACCCCAGGCCCACTGGACTAAACTGCAGCATTCCCTGGACACAGCCCTCCGCAGAGCCCGCGCAGCCCCTGCCGTGGCAATAGCTGCCCGCGTGGCAGGGCAGACCCGCAACATCACTGTGGATCCCAGACTCTTTAAGAAACGGCGCCTACGTTCCCCTCGCGTGCTGTTCAGCACCCAGCCCCCACTGGTGGCCGTGGACATTGAGGAGGTGGACCTGGAGGCTGACACGGAATCCCTCTCCAACAGGACTCAAAGGAGGAAGCGCTCGCCCAGCCACCCCGTCTTCCACATGGGCGAGTTCTCGGTGTGTGACAGTGTCAGCGTGTGGGTGGGGGATAAGACCACGGCCACGGACATCAAGGGCAAGGAGGTTAAGGTGCTAGGTGAGGTGAACATCAACAACAGTGTGTTCAAACAGTACTTTTTTGAGACCAAGTGCCGAGACCCCAATCCCGTGGATAGCGGTTGCCGCGGCATCGACTCCAAGCACTGGAACTCATACTGCACCACAACTCACACGTTCGTCAAAGCGCTGACCACGGACGATAAGCAGGCGGCCTGGCGTTTCATCCGCATAGACACGGCTTGCGTGTGCGTGCTCAGCAGGAAAGCTTCGCGAAGGGGTTGAGCCGCCCTTGGCCCCTCCCACCCACCTCCCACATTCTCCTGGGCTCCCCTCCCTACCTCAACCTGTAAATTATTTTAAATTATAAGGACTGCATGGTAATTTATAGTTTATACAGTTTTAAAGAAAATCATTATTTATTAAATTTTGGAAGCATCCGTGGTGCCTACCTCTCAGGTCGTTTTTCTCCTTAATGGGAGTGACAGGAAAGCTTCAAAAGGAGGACATCCTGCGGTACATCCTCTGAGGGCTCCCTGGGCGGCCCCACCTGCAGCCAGAGCCCGCTGTCAGTGGGGCACGGTGATTTGGGGGAATGGGAAGTGGTCTCACCAATTAGCTTAAACCAGGCCTGATTACCTAGGGAAGTCTGTTGGTCGCCACTTTGTTCTGCATTCCAGAGCCAAAGCTGCCTAATCCTTGCATTACCTGCCCTGCAGCTCAGGACCCTGCGCCTCTTGATTGCAGTGCTTAAGGGAAGTTAGCGGAACCTCATCAGAAGGCAAATCACTGCTGGCGCTGGCTCTGGATGGGCTGCCCCCAACTTGGAGAAAGGCCTGGGCTCGGCCCCCATGGAGACTCCAAAAAGGAGACAGGAAAAGGCTTGCAACAAAGGCCAGTGAGGCTGCGAGTTTTGGAGGAGAGGTATTTGGTGTCTGCAAGAGTTGTAACGAAATAGTCCCTCGAGGCCTGTCATGGTGCATCTGGTTTCATGTTAGGATTGCTGGAGCTTTTATGGCTGCTCCTCCACTTATCCCCCAGTGGCTTCCTGCAGAAAGACTTGCTTACCCAGTAAGCTCCAACTCTCTTGCCACCCACGAACAGCCCCAGCAGCCGCTTTTAGTGGCTCCCAAGTCAGACGACAAGCTGGGAAGACTTTCTGGTTACATCTCTAGAAGACAGGTGTTTTTTTTTTTTTAATTAAATTGCATGCTTTGATTTTTAAATTTATTTTTATTTATTTAAAAGTCATGGAGACAGAGATCTTTCATCATGACATATTGTTAAGTTTTGGGCCAGGCCAAAGCCAAGGGCTAGGAACTCAGTTGTGGTCTCCCACGTTGGCCTCAGAGGTGCAAGTGCTTGAGCCATCACAGCTGCCTCCCAGAGTGTGTGTTAACAGGAAGCTAGAATCTGGAGTGGAGCTAGGGCTTGAGCCAGGCATCCTAAGCCATGTCTTAACTGCTGAGCCAAACACCTGCCTATATATATAAGTGACCCAGGGTGGTAGCGGTCATGGGACCTGCAGAGAAAGAGTAGGGAGAGACATACATCAATGGAGCCAGAAGTACCACAGATAAAGCACAGCAGAAGCTGCAGGGACAGGGTGCTGCCAAGGGGGAAAGAGGGGAGGGGTGAAGAAGAACACCAACTGAAGTTGGGAGAGGGAAGGAGAGGACAGAGCAGCAGGAGGGAAGCATGACAAAGAGGTCCCAGGATTCCACCCAGCCCCATGCTGCTGCCTCCCCCTGCATTTTGTATCCCCCACCCACACCTCAGCCTCATCCCTGACCAAGCCACCATGGTCCCTGCAGACTAAGAACTTCCCCTAGCAGAATGACTTTTCTCTCATTGGAACTGCTTCTCTTACCCTGCAACCCCCAGGCCGAAGAGAGTCTACAGGGAATGAGTCCAAATTGTCCATCTAGCAAAAAAACAAAGGGTCATATTGACTCCTCCTCTAACTTTTACGTTATGCCCACTCTTGTTTCATCCCATGTAGGGTGAGTTGGGCAGGCAGGGAACTCAGCAGAACAGTTTCACAGCATAAAGCATGTTAGAATGGATCCTGTGTTTTTCTAGCAGAGCTACTGCAGTTGGAATGAAGATTTACACTCTCAAAGCTCCAACCAGAACATTCTGTGCTGAGATCCTTGGTCTGATAAAAAGGCCTTGGGCAGCCAGCCCTGCTATCCCACTGACCTGTGCCTGTAGTTGTTCACTGAGCTCTAGTTCCTGGATGCCTTCCTTTTATCTAGGGCATGGCAGGCTGGCTGGATCCTGGATGTCAGGAGAGAGGGATAGGTTTGGTATATTTGCAGCTGGGAAGGTCTGCATGTGGGCAGCTTCACCAGTGACAAGAGCCCCAGAGAGTACCCCTGGCTCAGCAAGACACTTGGGATATCTGCCAGCTTCTTTGGGCCCCCTAGCCTGCCTTGGGGGAAGGCTGAGCCTGCACAGCTCCAAGGGAGGATAGAAGTGGCAGAGGCTCTTAATTTCTAGGTGGGTTACTCTCTTGTTCCTGCTGGTAAGAGCAGGTTCCCAGACTGTGGAGAACACCACTGATCTTCCGCAAAGGCAAAGTCTGCAGTCACAGGATAAGAGCCCATGTTTTTATGCAAGATGAGAGCTTGTTGTTTTGGCCGAACAGATCTAGTGTGCTCCAAAACCAGCCCTGTGCCTGGTGATTCCTACAGTGTGATAGCCTCTGTTCCCACACATGCCATGGGAGACAGTTGGGAGGATGCTGGCTTTTGAACCTCTCCAGGATGCCTTCAGAGGCCACCAGAGGCTTCCAGGGCTCCAGCCACCTAAATGGATTGAATGACAACTCCAAATGGGCCCTGCACTCTACTGAGACAAGGCAGCTGCACATCCTGCCAACTTGCCCTTGTGGGGCTCTGTGAGATGTTTCTAGCCAAGGGGTAAGTGCAGGTCCCTCCTCTGCTGAGCAATCCCTCACTGAGTCAGCCTTAGCTCCCCATGACCCATCCTTCCAAGCAGGGTTCCTGCTGGCCTCAGTTGGGAGCAAAGCTCAGATCCTGGGAGGTGACAGCAGGCTCACACCTGACTCAGTTTATGTCCCCAGTCTTTCCCTGTGACCTCTGCAGCTGCAGCTGGAGCGCCCATCTCCCTTAGAGCCACTATTAGGAAACCTATCCTGGGGATAGATTTTTGACAATAACAAAACTGCCATTTTCATTCCAGGAGTGTTTTAGAAGTCTCCCCTACTTTCTCCTCAGCATAGTCTGCATTGTAGGAGGAGGACAGAAGGGCAAAGGTCTGTCAAGGCTGGGCTATATTTCTTTGCACCTTAGACAAAGCGACAGGCTGGGGAAACAGAACCAAGCAGATATGTGGGCTTGCAAGAACCCCTGGGCCTAGATTCAGCATCAACCTCAGAGTCTTAGTCCAGATGGACCAATGAGAGGTTCATGGCCCCCTTAGGGTCATTGGTTAAGGCAGAACCTAAGGAAACAGTCTGTGTGATGGTGCTAATTCTTTGGACCCTGTTAGAGAAATAAGGGCAGGTCATAGTTCTGCAGCTATGGGATGAAAATGATCATTCCACCACCATACAGTTGTGAGCATACAGTGAAACCATGTCTTTGAAAGTAGTTAAGTCTTCTCTAAGAGTAAGGCAAAATGAGCTATTCCCCCTGTGACAATGTCCCTGTTGGCTGCAGGAGACAAACAACCAATGATGGTACTCATATCTGTTGCAGATGTGTAGATTGGGTGGGGGAAACCCTGTGAATGGCAGACAGTATGGAATATGGATGTGGTTCAAGAGAATAAGAGAATGAAGAACAGTTCTGCAGCTTCAGATTCTGCCAGAATCTGGGTCCAGAAAAGCTGTGTAGATTCTAGAAGTTCCAGCATAGTGGTAAAGAGCTTCGGTTCTGGAGTCAGACAGGCAAGATAATTGTATTTGGGTTGTGGCTTTAAGCATATTTCCTAACTTCCCTGATTTTCAACAGCTTAATCTATGAAGTAGAGATAGTTATAGTGCTTTCCTCAAAGATCCAAAGGAGAATTCAGTGAGAAAATATACAAAAATATACACAAGTGTCTGACACTTAAGAAGTGTGTAATGAACTTTCACTTTGAAAAGTAGATTGGTGGGAGAACTCTAAAAGGCTGCTGAATCAGAGATGGACAGCTTTGTCCAGGACAAACAGTTTCCTGAACAGTTTCACTGATGGGTCATGCACGGGTCATTCTGTGGGGAGCAACAGGACCATCATTCAGACCATTAGCATTTCCTAATAGTTTGCCGTGAGTCTGGCGGAGCACCAAGCATGTCATGTGCGTTAGCCCCGAGTCTCTGGGCCCTCAAATTTAACATTAGCTGAAGTGGGCAGAAAGGCCGCTTGCCAAGAGCTGCTATGGGACACATTTTGTTCCCCACACCATGGCAAGTTGGTAAACAGTTGATGCTAAAAGTTTCCCTGTGTTGAGCATGCAGGATCTACTTTGCTATAACTAACTCACTAGGATATACAACTCAGCAGCTCTGACCTTTCCAAAGTTCACTTGGATTTATGGAGGGGACTCAGGGACCTAGAGCCGGGATAGGGTGGGAAGACTATCTCACAACACCCTGAGGAATATCCCTCCTACTCAAGCTGCTCATCAAGATCAAGGATTCATTAACATCCATATTCTTTCAGGTACTGTATTCAATCTTGCATGCAGCAGGCACTCAGCGTTGCAGGGCAGATAAGGTAGAAAGTAACCCCCTGCTCTGTCCACCACTGTCATTTCCACCTTGAACTCTGTCTGCCTGCAATATAATCAGCAATAAGTGGATTCATGTTTTGAGTTATTGACAAAGGGCACCTCAGGACATGGAATGGGGATCCACTGAGTAGCTTTCAGAGTTACTGCGGTGGTGAGGAGTGTGATCACACCACAAGGGTCAAGCCTAGCCACACCACCAATGTGTCTGAATGACAGTAGACAAGTCACATTTCTCTTTGCACTTCAATCATATGGAAATCTGGGCAATAGTAAGACTGTACTCTGCTATTAAATGGTATCCAATCCGGTGCACTAAACCATTGCATTTAAGACAGGTAAATAGACACACAGCTACATACACACATACATGCACAGAAATAGGCACAAATACACACACATAAGGATACAAAGGATGTGTATGTGCATGTGTATGTGGGTATACACATGTGTGCATGAAAAACCTGTGAGAGCTGAGAAGCACCCAGAAAACTTGCACTCCACTCTCACAGGAATCTGCACATTGACTTAACACAGCAAAGCAC